TGGCAAAACAAAAGTTTCCAAATTTAGCAAAATTCATATAAACATACAGATTCTGGAAGCGGCATGAATCCCAACCAAATTAAACACACTCATTAAAAGATAATGACGAGGAAAAGGGCGGTATGGATAAAGACACATAGTAAATTGACATGTTGAGTTGAAAACCTCTTTATGCAACTACCTAAGCATAACAAAAGATATTTTTAAAAATTTTTTAAAGAAAGACAAAAGCCCAACATCAGTGGTTCATGCCTGTAATCTTAGATAGTCAGGAGGCTGAGACCTGAGGACTCTTGATCAAAGCCAGCTCAGGCAGGAAAGTCCAATTAACTACTAAAAATCCAGACATTGATGTGGAGCTCAAAGTAGTACAGTGCTAACCTTAAGTACAAAAGTCAGTGCCCAGACCCAGAGTACAAGCCCTAGAACTGGCACTCATGGACACGTGGGCACACACACATATGCATGCACACATGCACACACACAAAGACAAAAATGAGTAGAATGGATGGTTAAGAAATGATTCATTGCTATGATATCTGTAAGACCTTCACTTCAATGTAACAGCAGGGGAAGGCTGAAGTAAAGGATGGACAATGATATACTACATTTACATTGATCAAAACAAAAAGGAGAGGCTGTGCTGAAATCAGATGAAGTCGACTTTAGAGAAAGCAACTGCCTGGGCTGAAAATAATCAGTACATAATAACAGAGGAGACAATTTGCACATAGCTAAGAATCCTAGCTATGTGCATAACCTACATAAACACTGTACACATGTGGAGTTGGGGATGAGGAAGGGAGACAATCTGTCTGTGGACGGCACCCATGTCAAATGCCTGGATTTAAGAGCTCCTTATAATTACTTAAGATTCAACCATAGAGAAGAATGAAATCATGTTATTTGCAGAAAAAAAATGAATAGAACCTGAAATCGTGTTACACCCAAATACACCAGACTGAGAAAGACAAAGTATCACAGGTTCTCTCTCATATGCAGAATCTAGACTCCCCCCCCCCAAAAAAAAATGATGAGAACTGGTCAGGGGTGGGAAGCATGGAAAGAAGGAAGGGGAAGTTGATGGGGGAATGAATACTTCTTATATGTGTTTGAAAATAGAATCATGGAACTCATTAAAATATTATTAAAAAAGCATAAAATGGAGAAAACAAAAAGGCAATATCGGGACTAAATTTGATCAAAAGTACATGTATGGGAATATTTCAATGAAAGTCCAATTCATATATACACTAATAAAATCCCCCACTGGGGAACAAGATTGAGATCCATAGAATTTCTCTGAGCTATTGTTGCAACTTTCCATAAGAACATCCTTATTTCAATATAAAATACCTTTTTTAAAAAGCAACAGGAATATTACTCGAAATCTTAAGATACAAAAAGGATACCAGTTTCCATGGTTCAACCACAAGGCTTAGAACTCAGCAACACAGACCTCGCTTCGCCCCCTAGTGGTGGCTCAGTGCACTCATTGCCAACGCTGAGGCGTTTGTGGAATCTCAAAGTGGATGACTCAGGCTTTCATTTGCATACCCATAGTCCCCTGTAAGTCTTTTCAAGCTTAGTTCTAAAATTTTTCCTTAACTCAATATATTTCCCATGATGAGAAGTTTATTTATTGAATTCCAGATACAAACAACTTTACTTAGAAAGCAGTTTTTCAAGATTTAAAACAAAAAGAACACACCATGTGTGAAGTAGGAGTTGCAGTTACTGGCATAAGGAATTACACGCCACCCAGAGTATACTCTGGTTTCTCTTCAGATCGCATAAATCTTTCGCCTTTTACTAAAGATTTCCGTGGAGAGGAACAAAACTGAGTTTTTACTCAATTTTTTGAGGCCTTGCTATTGTAAGGCTAATTATAAGGTTGCAAAGTTAGATGTTACTATTCCTGCCCTCTTAGAGTTCTTCGTACTCATAAGCACTGTGTGTGAAAACAAGGCTCTACTGTACAAAGAAGTCTTCCAGGTACTGCTTTATAAAGTGTGTAGTGTGTGTCTATGTGTAGAAGAAGACCTCACCTAGGTTACTCCATGAAGTCTGGCAGCAGAACTGTAATAGGCAAACCTTCAACCACCTCAAACTGTCTAGAAGCTACTGTCAAGTCCAACGAAGGTTTCAGCCATCCTGCCCCCTTGCCATTTCTTTCCTCCAAACCACCATCAGCCTGCAGCCCTCCCCCCGACCCAGCTGCCATCTCCCCTGTGTTTCATGATCTGACTCTTATCTTTAACTGCTGCTTCTAATTTCTTTCCCGCAGACTTATCAACTGTCATGTCACCATTTTAAGAGGTAATAACCTTTTTAAAAATGCTGACAGGCACCACTTTCAGGGAGCTGTACTGAGAGAAGAAAATGTCCCCTCCCTCCCTTCCACTTGCCCAAGCCTCCCTTCAAATGTCAGCTCCAAAGTGAAGAATTCAGCTCGCCCTATTTTGAAATAAACTCTGTCCCCTTCTCTCTAATGCAACCTGTGGAGGGAGCACTTGTATAGGGTCTGAGTGTTTACCTGTCCGTTTCATTTTACCTTCTGGAAGTTCCTAACATTGAGAGTACCCACGCAAGGAACTGCAAAAGGTATCCATCAAAAACCTATACCCCAGCTGTGGCTTTGACTTCAAAGAATCCTAATGCTAGAAATAGACATTTTAAAGCCAAGCACCGCAGCTCATGCCTGTAATCCTAGCGACTCTGAAGACTAAGGTTTATTCAAAGCTAGCCCAGAAAGAAAAGTCTATAGGACTCCTCTCTCTAATGAACCATCCAAAAGCCAGGGCTGAAGTTGGTAAAGCACCAGAGGAAAAAAAAAAAAAGCTAAGGAACAGCACCCAGGCCCTGAGCTTAAACCCCGGTAGCTGCACAAATAAGTAAATATTTTACCAATAAAAGGAGTGGTGTTCAACATGGGATCGGTTAAATATTTTCTCAGGCTGCCGCACACTCATAACAGTAAAGCAAATAAATCTGAGCCCAGCCCCCAAACCTGCAGAGAGAACAACCCCAAGTCAGACATTCCCTTTGGCCTATGTTGCTTCACTTAAGAAGATTCTGTTCCCAACCACCCTAGAAGAGTAGCTCTTCAGTGGGCAGAAATAAACCTTCCTACAATGCTTGCTAGAAAATCCTAAGAGAGGCAACATACCCAAGAAAGAGAGGAAGAAAGAGAGGAAGGGAGGGAGGGAGGGAGGGAGGGAGGGAGGGAGGGAAAGGAAAAGAAAGAAGAAGAAAGGAAGAAATAAGAAAGAGAAAGAAGATGAAGACGGAGGAGGAAGGGAGGAAAGAAGGAAGGAAGGAAGGAAGGAAGGAAGGAAGGGAAGGAAGGAAAGAAGGAAGGGAGAGAGAAAGAGGGAGATAGGGGAGGGAGGAAGAAAGGAAAAAGAAAGAAAGAAAGAGAGAGAGAGAAAGAAAGAAGATGATGACAGAGGAGGAGGAGGAAGGAAGGAAGGAAGGGGAAGGGAAGGAAGGAAAGGAAGGAAAGAAGGAAGGGAGAGAGAAAGAGGGAGATAGGGGAGGGAGGAAGAAAGGAAAAAGAAAGAAAGGAAGGAAGGATGGAAGGAAGGAAGAAAGGGAAAGAGAAAGAGAAGGAGGGAGGGGGAAGGATAAATGAAAAGAAAGAAAGTGAGAGAGACAAATGGGGGAGGGAGGGAGGAAGGGAAAGGAAAAGAAAGAGGAAGAAAGAAAAGGAAAATAAAGGATGAAAAGGAAGGAAGAAAAGGCAAAGAAATAAAGGAAGGAAGAGAAGGAAGAAGAGAAAGAGGGAAGGAGGGGGGAAAGGAAGGAAGGGGAAAGAAAGAAAGGAAAGAAGGAAAGGAGGAAGGGAGGAAGGGACGGAGGGAGGGAGAGAAAGGCAGCCAAGGATGAAAAGTGCTCCGGACTGGGGCTATGATTCTTCAGATGGAGGCCAGGCCCCGCCCTGCTCCCTTCCCCTGTTCTGAAGGAAGCTTTGCTTGGGTCACCATCTCCCTAATACAGCCGTCTCCACTGCCCATCCTGCCAGTTTCTGGAGCTCCTGGCAGGCCAGCCTCCACCTCCTAGAAGGCCGGGTACGCTTGCTCAGGTCCGGTCCGTCCCTTCCTGTGACAATAAATGTCAGCCTAGCCTTTCCTCCCATACATGCGCTCTCTCCCACCTCACCTTCAACGAAATCCCCACCTGCTCTGTTCCAGGCAAAGATACAGAGATGAGCGAGCATCTCCCAGCCCTGCTGGTGAGACTCGAGCCTGTGGAGGGCTGGGGGAGTGGAGGGGGGGAGGATAATACCAGAGGACGCAGAATGATCTGAAGCGCTGGGTCACAACCTGCACTGACACAAAGGGTCCCCCCCATCCTCTCCCCCCCTGGCTTCGTGGGTTGAAATTTAATCTCCACTGTGAGGTATTAAGAGGTGGAAATTAATCCAGCGATGGCGGATAGAGGTCCTGTCTTGGGGAATAATTAGGATTAAATGAGGTAATTAGGGGAGCGCTCCCAGGACTGAATCCCGGTGGCTTTATAAGAAGTGAGGCCAGGCAGAGGCAGATGAACACACACATGCGCACCGGCCCTGGCACGCCATGCCCTGCGCCACCCTGGCGCCCTGCCAGCAATGAGGTCATCACCACACAAGGCTCCACCATTTTGCACATCACAGCTGTACCCACAAAACGACTGCTTTATAAAATGCCTTGCCTACGGTATTTTGTTCTAGTCATGAAAAATACACAACATATCTTTGTGTCATTTAGATCAAACTGTGGCAGCTTCACATGATCTTTATTGTTAGTCTGTCCCCACTAGGAGAGAGACAGAGAGAGAGAAAGACAGACAGACAGAAAGACACACAAAGAGTAAGAGGAATACCTTATCCAACACAGAACACTGACCTCTTATAATAAACTGTTGCCGGTCAATCCCAAACAGCACTATTTACTACTTACAAAATAGTAAAATGAGATTTGAAACATGAAAAGCTTTATCACGTATCTACTTTGTACCTTCTTTAATCCTCCAAAAAGAGCGCTGGTCTCCAACTCAAACTCTTGGTACAGTTCCTCTTCATGTTCTGACAAGAAAAACAATGTGCATGAATTGTAAGTCTAAACAAAACTGGGTCACTTAAGCACAAAAGCCCTGAAAGAAATCCAAGGCACGCCAGGAAAATAGCCTGTGAAGTGGATGGCAGGTGGCAAACCTGCTGCTTGCCTGTCTTCCCGCTTCTCTCTGACCTAAGTCTTACTGACTTTTCTGTCAGGGACTGGGTTTGAACCACTACCCTCAGATCTCAGCATCTACAGTCGCTGGGATTATAGGCGGGTAGCACCAGCTTAGGTGATGAAAACATTTTACACAGACCATGCACACATGGACAGCGACTGTGGCTGCATTTGAATAATAAAATGGAATCAAATCATGGAGAAAAGTATGTGTATTGGCATACAATATATCTGCCTTTTCTCTATTTTACAGTACTGGAAATTGAACTTGCACATGCCAGGCAACTGCTCTACCACTTGAGCAACAACCTCAATCCTACAAAGGCTTTCAAACAAAGGATATAACAAAGTCTTCATCCAAAAGTATCTTTTGTTTGGGGGGGGGGGCGGGTCCAGTCGTGAGGCTTGAACTCTGGGCCTGGGAGCTGTCCCTCAGCTCTTCAGCTCCAGGCTAGCGCTCTACCACTTGAGCCACAGCGCCACTTCTGGCTTTTTTCTTTTTGCTTATGTGGTGCTGGGGAATCGAACCCAGGGCCTCAGGTATGCAAGGCAAGCGCTCTACCACTGAGCCACCTTCCCAGCCCCCAAAAAGCATCTTAATGGTGTACAATGAAGCACAGTAGGAGATACTAGCAATGAAGCAAGGTAAGACTAGCATGATGAAGGAGAAGATGCACATACCACCAAGAGGAAACTACAAGAGTACTTACCCGATACAGTAAGTAATGGGTGATATAGGGTTAATTCTCAGGCCTGGTTCACACAGTGCATGGTATAAAGTGTGTATGGGATAAGACAAAGGAAAATCAATACCTGTCAGCTCCAAAGCTAAGAGCTATAGCCTCTGAATCATCCCCTGAAAAGCAAGCGGGGGTGGGGGTGCAGGGTGGGTGGGTAGTGTCATGAAAACATGATCACAAGACGACGCTGGTTTCAGAGTAGAATGGAGACAAAGTGACGCACACCAGACACAAGCAGTAGCCCCAGTCTCAGTCCCCATTCAGGAAGGGGAGGGGGAAACCCTCCCAGCCCTAAGTGTGTATGCAGCCGCAATAAAGCTGGCATTGGAGGCCAGACTTCCTGAAGCTGGACTGCAGCTCCCTCTAGTGGGAAAAATGTGCTTGCTGCCTCCTACAGCCCGAGAGAAGGGCAAAGTTCAGCCAAGGGTCCATCTAGGGACCTAAGGGCCAACGTCCTTCCTCAGCTGGAAAAGCTCTCCAGTGCACCTGGGAAACTCATTACGAGAACCTGCTCAGCACTGTCTAGGACAGATCCAATCAATACACACACACACACACATTACTTTCTAAGAGCAACAAAGGGGAAAAAATGTAAGTGAAATAGATTTTCTTGTATTTTATTTCACTGAAATTTTGATTCCCAGAACCATACCCCTCCCCCAAGCCTCAGTGAAATAAAACACAGGAAGGTTTATTTCATTCTCTTTTTTTCCTTCTTTGTTTGTATATTCCTTCCCTGCCCCCTTACTGATTCTTTGTAATACAAAGTACATAGCATCTTTTCTGTACCTGTCCACTCAGGCCAGCCACATTTTAAATGTGGGGACAGTAGTCCCACTATTGGATAGCATAGTTCTAGACAAAAAAAAAAAAAAATCCTAGCTGGGTGTCTGTGGCTCACACCTGTAATCCTAGCTACCCAGGAGGCTGCAAACTGAGGATCGAGGTTCTCAAAGCCAGCCCAGGCGGGAAAATCCATGAGACTTTTATCTCCAATTAACCATCAGAAAACTGGAAGTGGTGCTGTGGCTCAAGTGGTAGAGCACTTACCTTGAACTGAAGAGCTAAGGGACAGCACCCAGGCCCAGAGTTCAAGTCCCATGACTGACAAAAAAAAAATCCTCCTTCACATTTTTAACAATGTTTGTGTATGTGAGCATGTCAGTCCTGAGGCTTGAACTCAAGGCCTGGACTCTATCACTTCAGCCACAGCTCCACTTTTGGCTCTGTGTGTGTGTGTGTGTGTGTGTGTGTGTGTGTGTGTGTGTGTGTGTGGACTAATTGGAAATAAAAGTGTCACAAACTTTCTTGCCTAGGCTGGCTTCAAACCACAATCCTTAGATCTCAGACTCCTGAGTAGACAGGATTACAGCCACCAGCGCCCAGATGCAGCTTTGACCATTCTTACAAATCATCTTTGTCTGCTGTCTTGGCACAAATGCTACGGACGGAACATAAACCTGCAACTGCAATATTCATAAACCCTTGGGACATCAATTGCCTTCAAGATTAAAACTGGATGAAAATTCACAGCCACAGAAATTAGTTGATACGGCATCAAAGCCGAGCACCTGCCACACCGCCATCTTCCCAGAAATTGTGACAGTCCTCACACCTCTCTGCCCAGGCAGGGAGCCTGGAATCCCCTTCAAGCCACACAGGGAAGATCCTGGGGCTGTGGAGCGCCAACTGTTCTTTCTCTAGTGCCCGGGTTCCATTCCCCAAATGTCAGCACTCAGCAAAACTGCCTGAGCGTATAGAAATGAAGTCATTCCCATGGATGAATCCTGATCATTAGTCAGCTGTTGATTTTTCCCCACCTCTAGCCGAAGGACACAGGAGGTCCTTATCTTACCTACTTAACAAGAAATTTCCATTTAATCACTGCCAATGATTAAAGGTGGCAAACCATTTACTTAAAGTCTCTAACTACAACATTTCGATGGGAAATTAGTTCTGGGGTGGGGGTGGAGGTAACTACAGTCTAATAATAATCAGGATAGAAGGATCACGTGCACACACACACACACACACACACAGACCCCTGGTCTGATACAAGCTTTTGTGGGGAAGAGTACATCCAATCGCAGAATGAGAGGCCCATTGTTTCTGCATTTGAAAACCTCCAATCCGCCCCAACTGATTCCCAAAGAACAGCAGGAGTCTAGAAAGACCTTGAACACATTCACATACATCCACCTTATAGTTCCTCCTCTAGGAATCCTTCTGAGAAAAAAAAACAACCAGGCACGGTACAACAGCACAAGTACATTCCTTACAAAACAAGTGAACTTAAATCTTCAACTCGTGAAGCTGGAATAATAAAGAAACAGAGCAAACTGCAGGAACAATAAGGGACGAAATAATAAGATGCAGGCAGAAATCAATGAATCAGAGAACAAAAAGAAACAATTGAGAAATCTAACAAAAGTCAAAGCTGAAAGGATGACTGAGATCACTGGCACAGTTGATCCAAGAAAGAAATAAGCATAAGGGAGGGAGAAGTGGAGAAACAGAACAAAGGAGGGAGAGGGGGAGGAGGGAGAGAATAGAAGTAAAATCTACAATAAGCATGGAGGGAGGCAGAGCAGCGAAAGTGAACAAAATTAAATAGAGAGGGGTGGGCACAGTGGCACATGCTTGTAACCCTAGATGCTCAATAGACGATTGTGTTTTGAAGTTAGCCTGGGCAAAAAAGTTAGTGAGACTATCTCAAGCCAGATATAGTGGTATGTATCTATAAGCCCAGTTGTGCAAGAGGTAGAGGGTAATGGTCTGAGGCTGGCCCAGGCAAAGCCCATGAAATCCTATCTGGAAAATAACAAGTAATAAAGGGCTCTGGACATGGCTCAAGTGGTAAAGTGGCTGCCTACTTAGCACGAGGCCCTGAGTTCAAACCCCTGTACTGCCAGAAAGAAAAAATATACACATTCAAACACACACATGAAAAGATAACTACATAAAGCAATAAGTAAATGAAAAAAATGTGCACCACAATATCCTAACCAATTGAAATGCTATATGAAAGGAGAAAGTCCTAGAAAGCTACAAATGGTCAGACAGGTACAAGAAGAAACAGAAGAGTTTAATATGAACCAGTAGGTGGTAAACTGATGCTCTCACAATGGCCTCCAATCCCCGATGGTGTTGTGTTAAAAACTGTGTTAAACTGAGCAGACCCACTTTGAAGGCAGAGATAGTCACGCTTTCCAAGTTTATTCTATAAAAGAATGGGGATGGGAATGTGGCTCTGTGGTAGAGGGTTTGCCTACCACGCATGAAGCCCTGGGTTTGATTCCTCAGTACCACAGACACAGAAAAAGGCAGAAGTGGTGCTGTGGCTCAAGTGGTAGAGTGCCAGCCTTGAGCAAAAGAAGCTCAGAGACAGTGTCCAGGCCCTGAGTTCAAACCCCAGGAAGGACTGGCAAAAAAAAAAAATACAAACTACTTGGTTCATCATATCTTTCCTTATGTTCAAGTAAGCAGAGACATGAAGACTTTTCTTTTTCTTTTTCTTTTTGCTTTTACTTTATTCCTGGGGTTTGTCAGGGCCTGCGCACTTTCCTTTATCTTTTTCTCTAAAGACTTTCTCTATCACCCGAGCCATACCTCCATGTCTGGCTTTTTGCTGGACAGCTGGAGATAAGAAACTCAGAGTCTTTCCTTCCTGGGTTGGCTTTGGACTGTGATCCTCAGATCTCAGGCTCCTGAGTAGGTAGCTAGGATTACAGGGTTGAGCCCCTAGCACCCAGCTAAAGACATCTTTCTACCTCTATTAACCCACAGGCATCCAGCCTTCAGCAGCCACGATGCTATAGACCAGCTATGCAACACAGCCGCCCACTCCCACCCTCATCCCCAGGAGGCCTACTCACAGGGTTGCGAGGGACAAAGTAGTATTTTGTTCAATCCCTGCTGTGAACTTTGTTGATAGATCCCACCCGACAAAGTTCAAATCAGTCAGCTGTCCCTGATGGAATTCTGCAACTGGGGATGGTGGGAAGAGTGGACAGGATGCTGCCTTGTGCCTGGGAAGACAAGCCAAGCAGACGCTCATCAGAGGCACTGTGCCTAGCCACACTGTGAGCTTTCTAGTATGTTCTAGGCACAGCATTTGGCTCTGGCATAAATGCCTGATGGAAGTTCACAGAAGAGACCATTTTCTCAGTGACTACTTCTTTCATGTAGGAAAGTAGCACTTTTCCTAGGAGGAAGTGAGACACGGATCCCAGAAGCTCCATACGAACGGTGAAGCACAATTTTGGCAGAGAGGAAATCCGGCTTCCAGGGGCTGAGCCGGTGAAAGGCTTAGAAGCAGCTATTTCCTGAGAGTCTCCTGAGAAACACTTTGGCACTGACCATGGAAGGAAAATCACAGGAATTAAAAAAAAAAAAGAAGAAGAAGAAGAAGAAGAAGCCTCAGGCTAAGGAATATTCCATCCTTCGCCAAATACCACCACAGCATCTGGGCCATCTGAGGAGCAGGAAAATCTGGGACTCTCCTCAGAGGGTCCTCCAGCCCAGCAATTACCACGGTACTGGAAGAAATAAAAGTACTGGCTCAGCAGAAAGAAACTTTTCCCACTTGAAAGTTTAATAGTAAAAGAGACAAAGGAATTTCATGTTTAAAACAAGCTGTGTTTGGGAAATATCATTAAACATGAGTGAGAGAATAGGAAGACGTATCAAGACCTGGATTCGACTTCTGCTTCACTGCTTCATTCCATGAGTGATCTTGGACAAGTAACATTTTTTTCAGCCTCACTGAGATGACATTTGCCAGGTCCCGCTGCCTCACGCTTGTAATCCCAGCTACTCGAGAGGCCAAGATATGAGGATCGCAGTTCCAACCCAGCCCCCGGGACACTCTTACCTCCAATCAAAAGTCAGAAATGAAGGTGCGGCTCAAATGGTAGAGTATCAGTTTTGAGATTTTTATTTTAAAGCCAAGCAAAAAACACCAGGCCCTGAATTCAAGCCCCAATACCAGCACACACATACACAGGAAGATGCCATCATGTGGCAGAGAGATTTCAGATTCAGCATCATTGATACCTTCTCTTCCTATAAATGCAATGGCTCAGCCTAAAAAGGAGGGCAGCATTTCCTCCCTTGGACTCTCTACTGGCCCCATGATTTGCTTTGACTAATACATGAAGCAGAAGTGACCCAAGCAAGCAACTCCCCCAGGCTGGGCTTGGAGCAATTCCTAACCTTTCAGGGCACTTGCTTCTTGGAAGGAGTTTTACTTGTGAGAAACATGAGCCATGTGGATGGAGATACCACTTTAGAGAGAACCACACTACTCCCAGCCTCCAGTGCAGCTCCCGGCACAGACTGCACCAAGTGCCAACCGTGCAAGTGAACCATCTTGGATGCTTTAGCTCCATCCAGCCACCAGAGAAGTGCAGCCCCAGCTGACAACTCGGGAAGCAGAACTGCCAGCTGAGCTGGGTCCAGAGACATGAAAAGCAAAACACCACAGAATGAAGCCCATTCACACAATTCCTCCCAGCAACCGGCTGGGGAAGAAAAATGATCAATAGGTGCAAAACGAGCATTTGATACAATCCAACACCCATTTGGATGGTTCCTTCTATGTGTCAACCTGACTGGGTTATAGGGTGCCCAGATTAAATATTATTTCTGGGTGTGTCTATAAGGGGGATTAGATGCAATTAGTTAGCACTGGAATCAGCAGACTGAGCAAGGTATTGCTCTCTCCAATGCAGGAAGACTTTGCCCAATCTTTTGAAGAGTTGCATGGAACAAACAGTAGAGAGAAGAAGAATTAGCTTCTTGTCTTTCCAACCTCATTACTTGAATCGGATCATCTCATTCCATCTTCTCTTGTCCTCACCTGGGATTTATACAATCTGATATCCTGCTTTTCAGACCTTCAGACTCAGACTGAATTATATCAGTATCTTTCCTGGGCTGTCCTAGCCTCATAATTGTATGAGCCCATTCTTCATAAATTTCTTTCTTTCCTATTTTTTTGCCAGTCCTGGGACTTGAACTCAGGACCTGGGTATTGTTCCTGAGCCTCTTTGTGCTCAAGGGTAGCACAGCACCACTTCCAGCTTTTTCTGAGTACTTTATTGGTGATAAGAGTCGCATAGACTTTTCTGCCCAGGCTGACTTCAAACTGTGATCCTCATATCTCAACCTCCTGAGTAGTTAGGATTACAGATGTGAGCCCTCAGCACCCAGCCTTAAGGATGGAGTTTAGCCCCAATACAAAAGACATGATGTATGAAGTAAAGAATAAATAAGCTAGTTTAAAAAAATCTACTAGACAATCATTTCCAAAATAACTAGCAAAAAAAAAAAAAGCAGAGCTGAAAGTATGGCTCAAGTGATGGAACCCAGGCTAAGAAAGCATAAGGTCTCAGTTCAAATCCCAGTACTGAAAAAGAAAATAAATCATTGTGAAAAAATGTAAATGCAAGCCACAAACTAGGGGGGAAAAACACTCATAAAAGATGTATCTGAAGCTATAATCCCAGTTACTGAGAAGACAGAGATCTGAGGATCCAAGTTCGAAGCCAACTCAGGCCAAAAAAGAAAAAAAAAGTCTGTGAAACTCTTATTTCCAAATAAGCAGCAGATATGGAAACGAGAGACTTTCCATTTTTTTACGATTTTGGTTTTTGATGATTCTGTCTTCTTTACTCTATGAATGGTGTATTCCAGTGTGCATCTTCGGAAGGGTTGGAGGAGGAGAAGGTACGGACTCACAGGGAAAAGGGTGAAAAGGTGCAGCAGTGGATGGAGCTCACTGGGGGCCGACAAAAGTGAACGATACAACTTGTGGGGAAAGACAGGAGGGAGCTGGGAGAGAGTGAGGGAACAGAAGACACTGTACAAAAGGAAACGAACTCATGACCTGCCTCACGTAATTGTAATCCCTCTGAACATCACTCTATAATAACAATAAATTAATAATAAAGATTTTTAAAGCCACAAGTGGAGGTGGGATTCAAGTGGTACAGCATCAGTTTTGAAGAAAAAAGCTAAGCCAGAGAACGAGGCTCTGAGTTCAAACCCTAGTATTGACATGCAGGCATGTGGCCCTTCTACCACACACACACACACACACACACACACACACACACACAATGTATCTCATAAAACACTGTTACTCAAAACATACAAAGAACACATAGGCTGGGAAGGTGGCTCAGTGGTAGAGCACTTGCCTTGCATGCATGAGGCCCTGGGTTTGATTCCTCAGGATCACATAAGCAGAAAAAGTTGGAAGTGGTGCTGTGGCTCAAGTGGTAGAGCACTAGCCTTGAATTGAAGAGCTGAGAGACAGTGCCCAGGCCCAGAGTTAAAGCCCCACAATTGACAAAAAAAAAAAAGAACACGTAAACCTAGACAATAACAAAATGAATCACCCAATTAAAAAATGATCCAAACAAAAATAAAAACAAAAAGATACCTAAACAAAAAAGACATAAACATCTAAAAGATGCTTCACATCTTATGCCATTAGAGAAATATAAAGATCTTTCATTATGGAGAACCAAGAAGACAACACTCTATACCTATGAGAGAGAGAGAGTAGTCCCTCACCAGAACTCTGGTGACACCCCTTGCTAATAAGGATGTGGACTAATGGAAATTCTCACCCTTTGTGGGTAGAAACACAAAAATGGCACAGCCGTGGTGTTCAGACAGTTAAATGATTTCACACACAAATAAGCTCTCTTACCCTATGATCAAGCAACTGCACCCCTTCCTATTTACCCAAATGCATGGAACATGGTACATACAAAAACCTGATCACAAATGTTTGTAGCGGCCGTATCCATCATTGCCAATAGTTGGAAGCAGCTGACATGTCTTTCAACAGGTGAAAAACAACAGTAGTCCATCCAGACAACAAACCAGAATTTAGAAATGAACTCTCACATCACGACAGAAATACAACTTTAAAACCTTTGAGGAGCCTTCAGTGCTTATTTCTAAATGAAGGGAGCTACGTAATAAATGCTTTCCACTGTGTGATGCCAGAAAAGACGAAGTCTGGAGCAGATGGGTAGACGCTGTGGTTGTCAGGCGCCAGGAGCCCCCTCCTGTCTCCAACACCTTCAGGTTGGCTCCATATGCCTGAGACAGGCTGGGAGAGAATGAATCAAAGAGAAACACCAGAGTTTGCTTTAAGTTCTGAATGCAAATTCTTCTGCGGTCTTCAACAGCCGTGGACTCCAATACCTCTGGCATGGGTGACAGCAGGGGGTGTGGCTTTGTGGCACCTCATGTGTCCCCAGTGCAGGAGGCCCTGGTTGTCATCTAAAGAGCGTGGGCACTCATGCATGTGTGTGTGAACACACACACACACACACGCAGGCAGTAACTATTACGGGAAATCGAGCATTGAGAGAACATGTCCTAGACTCGGGTCACTGATTCAAATGATCCAATTATGCGGGGAAGCAAAGCAGGCCCAAGTCCCGCTGGCTCTCGAGTCCCCTCCCCCCCCACCTCGACCTCTGGTTACAGTCTGTTCACTTTCTTCTTTGACAGGAGATCAGAAAAGCTGAGATCCTTACCTCTGGACACTTTGTAAACTTCATAGAAAGAATAGAAGTGGAAGCCCAGTGAAGCGAGCAGGTAAAGAGACAGCTCCCTTCGGGACAGCATCGCTGCTCCCAGGGCCCCGGTCAGCGGTGCCTGGGAAGAGAAGCAGAGAAAGCATGTGAAGCTACCCATGAGACTCTACACAGAAGCCCCTTAGCATCGCTGAGTTCATTGTCACTCCTGGGACAGCCTTCGTTGTACAAGATGACAGAGACAGAACCCTAACTGAACTTCCTCCCCTAACTGCCCCCCCACACACACACACAGAGCTGTCTTTTCCTAGGCATGTCCATGGCACACCCATCTCTCTGCTTGTGGAATGAAACCTTAGGGAGATGGGACCCTGATTATAAGTCCCCAGCAGGTAGCAGTTGTCTGGAATGTAGCCAGAAGAGATGCCCAGGTATGCCATGGGCTAGAGCCACAATGTGTACCTGATCTCCGCCTTCCACGCAGCTGGAATGACAGGCTTGTGCCACTGCGTCCAGCTACTGATTGAGAAAAGGTCTCTTGAACTTCTCTGCCCTGGCTGATCTTGAATTACAATCCTTCCCATCTCAGCATTCCAATCTAGCTAGAATCATAAACCGTCCTTGGGGACCACTTAACAGTCTTCTGCCTAGTGACTCCCCTTCGATCTACTGACCCCCGGGGGAATCGGAGACAGTCGTGTCACACCTGCCCAAGGTCACCTCCACTCAACAATAACATCAACACACGGGCACCACACATCCCCTGAACAGATTTGTCTTACACTTCTTTTCCCAACTCTTGCCCGCTTTTTCCGAGAAAAATCACTCCCCATCCACCCAGACTGGCTTTTTTCTGTTCATTTCAGCCATATACCCAGAAAGCCAATCAGAATAGATATGTGTCTTAAAGGTTTAATGACCCCCCAGTACCAAAAAAAAAAAAAAGGAAAACTATACCTTTAAAATTATAACTAGAAGTTTTTAAATGTCAAAAACCCTAAAAGGTCTTGGAAACCCCCCCAAACGTTTCCAATCCTATTTGTCATTCTCCACAGGAGCCTGTTTTGTTTATTTTTACCACTTTGAGCCATAGCGCCACTTCCAACTTTTCCTGAGTAGTTTATTGGACAAAAGAGTCTCACAACTTTTCTGCCAAGCTGGCTTTGAACTGTGATCCTCAGATCTCAGCCTCCTGAGAAGCTGGGATTACAGGCGTGAGCCACCAGCGCCCAGCTAAGCCTGTTGTTCTACACGCAAAGCTACCATGATGAAATCAGCGAGGCTATTCCTCAAGTGTACACAAAATTCTTCCTGTGTATTTTACACACAGATTCAGTCTTACAACTACATGGGCACTAAGTAGAATCAGAGGGCAGAAAGTCACTTTGTGGTGGGGTGTGGATATGTGTGCGCACACACATGTGAGCACAAGCTAGTACCAGGGCTTAAACTCAGGGTCTAGGCACTGACCCCTAGCATTAGCTCAAGACCAGCACTCTACCACTTGAGCTCCAGCCCTCCTTTAGGCTTTTGACTGGTTCATTAGAGATAAGAGTCTCATTAACTTTCCTGTCCAGACTGGGTTCAAACCATGATTCTCAGATCTCAGCCTCCTTATGTACTAGGATTACAGACACGAGCCACCAACACACAGCTTCCCGCTCTGAACTCTTCATAGGAGCCCTAAGCAGGCTAGCCCCACTTACAAACACCCGCCGGAGGTGTTTACAGCAGTAGCTCCCAGCATTAAACTACCAATACTAGTGGGTCCATTCTCCATGTCCTCAACTAAGATTTTCCCCTCTCTAGTTTCCCACTGGTTAGTAAAAGCTGTACCTAAGCTGAAAATGAACCATACATTTATTTCCTTATGGAATCATCATCATGATCTTTTTTAGGGTATCCATATTTAACACAAGAGAAAACTGACGTTCAGAAAGATTAAGAAACCTGCCCCAAGTCACACCGCTGGCAAACAGCAGAGCTTAGATTCACAGCCACCAAATCTAACTCCAGAGCCCTTCTTCAGGTCACCTTGATATTCCTTTTTATCCTTTTCTGACAGGAATGGACTCAGGGCCTCACATTGTAGGCCAGGTGCTCTACCACTTGAGCCACATTTCCCCACTATTTGTGTTCATTATTACAGTTTTATTGGCACCATTTTGTTGTGCAAAGGGGTTTCATTTTCACGTGTCCATATACACAAACAACGTACCTGGATCAGCTTCACCCCTACATCACTCTCCCTCCTTCCCTAACCAATCTCAACAAGCCTCATTGCTCCATTTTCACACATGTACAGAGGACCACAGTTACCTCCTTCATCCTCTCCAGCATCCGCCTCCCTCCCATGAGTACTTCCAAACCTGAAAGGACGCATTTCACATTCCTGTCATTCATTATTGCTCGAGTACACTCATCACTCAAAGGGGGTTCACCATGGTATTTCACACACGCAGAGGCATGTTTTCACCAGCTTGGTTTCCTTCTTGACTCTTAACTTCAGAAACTGTACTCCAACCATAGAAGTCTTAAGACTCATTTCTTCAACCCACAAATATCAATGCACCACACTGAACCCAGAACTGGGCTATTTGTGCAGCCAAACCATGAAGCTTTCTGATGTGGACTTCCCACCAAGAGGGTGCTTCTGGAAATTCTCATGCCTGAATCCCTGTGACTAGGTTGCAGATGTGACTGAGTGAGAGCATTCCCATAATGGACATTATCCTGGATTATCTGGGTGGACCTTTACAAGAGGAAGGAAAGAGCCCGGTGCTGGTGGCTCACACCTGTAATCCTAGCTACTCAGGAAGCTGAGATCTAAGATTCAAGGTTCAAAGCCAGCCCAGGCAGGAAACTCTACAAGACTCTTATCTCCAATTAATCACCAGGAAACCGGAAATGGAGATGTGATGCGAAGTGGTAGAATGCTAGCCTTGAGCAAGAAAGCTCGAGGACAGTGATCAGGTCTTGAGTTCAAACCCCATGGCTGACGGGGGGGGGGGGGGGGGGGGGGGGGTGTCAGAAACAGAAGGAGTTGTGCTTTGGAAATGGATAAAACAATCACAAGTGACTGTAAAAGAAATCCAGGAACTGGAAAAGGAAATAATAGAAACATTCCTTCCCAGATCTTCTGGAAGAAATGAGCCTTGCCAATCTACCTTAGACTTCTGATCTCCAGAATCACAAAACCACAGATTTCCTGGTGTCCACAGAGCAAGGCTATAATACTCCTGTGGACACACGTGGACATCTGTGCCTACCCAACTCCTTTATATAAAAAATAAGTGCAGGATCAATATGCATTACCTATAGCTTCCCACATACTTTAAGTACCAAATACAATGAAAATCGTTTTTTATATTGTATTATTTAGACAATAATGATGCAAGGGAGGGAAAGCGCATGCAATTTCTGTTTCCAATATTTTTCAAGCCACAGTTGGATTACATCCCACGGAAATGGAGAGCCAGCTACCTGTGGCAAGCCACAAAATGTGAACTGATTCGTTACAGATGCAACAGAAAATGAATGTCATCCTTACCTTTTAGTCCAGGGCCTCGTGAGAGAAAAGCACCCAACTGAAAGGACTGATGGAAAACAGATTGCATTTTAATCCAATCGTGATAAACGTCAAACACTCAAATTGGAAGAAAAGTAAATCTGAAAGCAAAATGTCACGCCCAGCATTCGCGTTAGCATTGGGCTTCGTGCTGGCGCTACCATCGAGCTCACGATCAAACACGACGCTAAGTCTTTTTATATGAACTGCTGCAGCTTCCCCCCAAAGACGTCGATTTTATAAACCCTTACCTCAACAAAACTACTGATCGGATCTGTCATTCTTTTTCCTTAAAAATTCTCAACCTCTTTTAAAGACTTTTCAGTCACCAAGAATCAGGTCCACCATCTCTTAAACTCCCCGGGTCAGGGGTCATCTGAATGAACTGGGTTTTTTCTTCCCAATAGCATAACATTTAGGTAAAAAATTTTTTTAAATATAGTCAAGAGAAAACAAATGAAGGTTTTTAAGAAGTGAAGTCATCCAAGTAATTACCACAAGTATCTCAGAAGCTCCTTCTCTCTTGGCTTACCCACTATCGACCCAAAGTGGCCACCATTATTTATTTAGTTCTGCCTGGTTTTACATTTCAGATGGGTGGAATCACAAAGCACCTACACTTTATGGATTTCTAATTGTGCCCAGCTTTCCATGGACCATGTGCTTATGAGTGGTAGTAATCTGTTCATCTTTGGTAACATAAAGTATCTCATTATATAAACAAGTTACTTAGGCATTTTCCCACATTATCCCTAATGAACAAGTGGATTGTTTCTAGCTAGGAGCTGTCATGAACCTCAGTGTTCAGAATATTCTTTGACATGACTTCTGCTGCCCCTACGCATGTCTTACCAGAGTGTCTATGAACAGGAGAGATGGGTCACAGGGGATGCGTTTGGCCAGCTTTAGCAAAAGATACAGCAAGCCAGATTTCCTACCAGTCATGCTAACTTGCATACCTCCTGGAAATGTGCAGGAGTTCCACTTTATCCACACCCTAACCTGCACTTACCACTGACCTTCTCTTTAATCTTAGCCATTCTGGTAAACACACATGATACCTCATGGTAACTTTTAATTTCCAATTCCCTAATCCCATATGAGGTTTGCTCACATTTTCATATTTAGTAGAAATTCAGAGATCCTCTTTGATGAAGTCACACTTAACCATTTTCTATAGAGCTACCCACCTTTTCCTAGCTTAAGGAAGGCCGGGCTTGGGTTCTTGATCTGGATATACTGATTGTAAAACCTTCCCCTATTCTGTAACTTGCCTTATCTTTATGTAATCTTCAGATGGACATAAGCTCACACCTATATATTTCTTTACAAGTAGTACTTTTGGTGTCCTTAAAGTCATAAAGATATTTTACTTTGCTTTCTTCTAGAAGTTGGCTTTGCCTTTCACCGGTAAGTATATGGTAAATCTTGATTTGTTTCTGAATCTAGGATGAGGTAAATGACCAAGATTCATACTGACCATGTGGATTTCCAATTGATCTAGCATCATTTGCTAAAAAAGTC